CCCACTGGAGAGCGCTGGCTCCAGTCCCGGCTGCGTCCTAGGAGGCAGCAGATGATAGCCTGAGTCCTCGAGTCCCTGGAATTCCAGGCTCCTGGCTTTGGGCTGGCCCAGCCTCAGCTGCTACAGGCTCTTGGAGAACGAACCAGTGGAAGGAAGAATCCTCCATCTCTCTCTTTCTCTGTCACTCTGCCTTTCAAATAAACATATCTTTAAAAAGTTTATACTTTTGTTTGTATGTTTTATTAAATATTTATTTATTTGAAAGGTAGAGGTACAAAGAGATGGGGGCGGGGAGAGAGAGAGAGAGAATCTTCCATCCTCTGGTTCACTTCCCAAATGGCTGCAACAACCAGAGGTGGGCCTATCGAAAGCCAAGAGCCAGGAGTTTCTTCCGATCTCCCACATGGGTGCAGGGGCCCAAGGACTTGGGCCGTCTTCTACTGTTTTCCTAGGCCATAGCAAGAAGCTGGATCGGAAGAGGAGCAGCCGGGACTCCAGACACCCATATGGGATACTGGGGCAGCAGATGGAGGCTTTACCCGCTACACCACAGCGCTGGCCCCTAAAAACTTAGACTTTTAAAAAATAGCTGCTTTGGTAGAAGGAGTAATTGCTGTCATGACTTCAACTTTCATTACAAAAGTACTTTGCAAGGTCAAGAGTTTTGTCTTTTGAACAAACTACATCTACATTGGCAGGTGCTCTGGGGCTGTTTTAGTGGAACAGGAGCCATTCTCGTCATATACTGACAGATTGGCTGGTGGAGCTTGAGGCACCTTTGAAACCCAGTGCTTTTATCTACCATAGACTGCAGTAGCACACCGAGCAGCCTGTGTTGCAGGGCAGCAGGCACCGTGCAGGCCACGGCTGTTGTAGGGCAGTGTGCAGAGAGAATTCCGATGAGGCTCGGGCCGGCACAGGCGTGGTGCAGAGCCCGTGCTCAGCCTTCCGTATGTTTTCGGATGCTGCCAGAACCTTCTTGGTACTTGGGCTATTAGCTATCTAGGAAAAGGTGGTGTTAACACGCTGAAGAGGAAACCTTGGGGCGAATTCTACTTTCCAAAGGAAGTGTTGATTTGAAGTTGTTTTCATGCACCTCCAAGGGAGGATTGGAAACTCTCCCTGCAAAGAGGCAGCAACTGTAGATCAGGCTCCCTGGCCTGGGATCCGTGAGAGCAGCACGTGCGGGATCAGGGCTGGCAGCCCACGCTTCTCTGTCCTGTGTCAGCGGGAACCACGAACCTCACCTCTCCCGAACCGCATACGGATAAGCTAGAGGATAAAACTCTTTGAAGGCTTGCCTGCTACAGAAGTAAAACATACAATTATTTCTTCAAGTCCTGATTCACGTGATTCAAAGCAGAGGAGGGCGTAGGAAGCAGAGAAGCAGAGTGGAAAGGGAAGAGGCGGCAGGATTGCCTGATGTCTCTGCTTGGTTGGGTTCCAGAGATCCTTCTGGCCGTGTGATTGTTGATTTCGTTGCCAGTAAGCTCTGAAGGAGGTTATGTTCCATGGTCTTTGTACTTTTGAGAAGAGGGGCAGTATTCTAAGCAGGTCTCCAGAAATACTGAAAAGCATGCCTCAAAGAAATGTACCCACCCATTGTTCACAGCCGGCAGGCACTGTTACAAATGTGGAATGGGTTTTTAGGTTTGCTCCTCAGAAGTGAATGACTACGATTGAAAATGCAGGCGACAGAGACTTTCTAAGCTTGAATCGGAGCTGGCGAATGACTTCCAAACTGGCTCCTCTGGAAGTTTCCCTAGAGAACCTGCGGACTTGAAAACTAATCATGATATGTGCGCAAGCAAAACGAGGTGGCTTCACGATTTGTGGCCACAACGTGCTGTTCTCTGTACTACCTAGAGCAACAATAACTGGTTTACCAGAATAATCATAGCCCAAATTTTCAAATTCATGTGACTTTTAATGAAAATACAAACTAGGGAAGCCCCAAAGAGAGATGGAATGGAGAAGGAAGTAAGTAGAGGGAAAGAAGATTGGCTACACTATGTATTTTTCCTAAGATCTCACATTAGATTTGTAGAATTGCTAGGCTACCATGAAAGATAAAAGTTAGACCTGACACTGGCGAGTCCTGTGGATGGAAGGTTCTGTGTGCTTGTGATAGGGATTCTGATGCCGACATAATCAAGCCTCAAACATTTATGTGCACTGTCAAGAATGGCCGTTTAAACATCCAGATAGGGCTTCAAAAATGTTATTTCCCCCTACTATTAGGTGTTGAAAAAATAAAAGCAGAAACTAGCCGCATTTTGTCTGCATAGGTAGAAATGCAGGGTATCATCCAATCATAACCCACTGTGTGTTTTGCTAAATGATTTTGAGCAACTAAACGGTTTTCTTGCTTCTAAACGGATAGCAGGAAATGTGTTTCACCCCCCATTGTATTGCCACAAAGCCAGGCTGAGCTCCCTGGGAGCCTGGCTGAGCCGCCTCGGATTGGCTGGCGAAAGCAGGACTTGAACATTCTGCTGCACAGGGTCCGGCCGCAGCAGGGCCCAATTGCCAGCGTTTTTATCTGCAGAAATGCGCTGGGCTGGGCACTTTGTGTAAGATTTCCCTTCTGCTACTGGAAGGCAGTGGGAAGCTGGAAGATGACTTCATTTGTAAGGTAATATCTGTGCTTGCGTTGGGGCAGAGGCAACTGATGTTTGACAGTCCTGTTTCCTGGGACCAATTGATTTTTCTTTCTCCTCTCGGGTTATCATTCTAATGATTTGTTTAAAACTGAAGCCACAGTCAGAATTGTATTCCACCTGCCCGAGGCTTGTCTGTTCATTGATTGGCTTTATTTAGTGCCATGCTGTGGTCAGTGGAGTTTGTTCTAAAAATCAGTATCATTTTTTCCCTTTGCCAGTTCAACACTTAAAAGAGGAGCTTTGGCAGGGTGATGGGAGGTGGATTTGGTGAGAGTATTTTTAGTTCCAAAATATGAACATATTTTAAAGAAGAATAAAGTGCTAGCAGGTTTAAGTTTGATGCTAGGGTCCATCAACAGGGTGTGGTAATGGGTCATGCCAATGTATTTTGTCATTCTTTGGGTAGATACTTGCTCTGAATAGTCTCCTGGGTCATTTTGTATTCCCTGAAAACAAACCAGGCCTCATTCTCCCTAATTTTATGCACTTGTTTGTCAGGATGTTATAATACAACACTTTCTGTGTGCAAAGGATGTGATAAACTTTACTCCTGTACCTTTTTGATTAAAAAAAAATTCTGCTGTCATCCTCTCTACCTTACACTGTTTCCCTTTAATTCTCCTGTATTCCAGAGAGTTCAGTGGTCAAAAGGATGAGAAAAGCTGGATTAGGGCCCCCTTTTTTTAATGCCATAATTGGATTTGTTAGTTTTATGGCATGAGATATCTTCAAAGATCATCTGTAAGATTGTATTCAATGTCTCTTAGTTTTTTGCACCCCGTGGAATGAAACATGGCATGATTATGCTAATACAACCAAGTTGATGTCTTGAAACCAATATTTTGTATTTGTAGAAGCACCCCTGAAACATTCTCATCTGGTTTTTGTTATGGCTGGACATGAAGCAAGTGTATTAAAAGATACTGCTGTTTTCCTAGGATAGTGTTCCTGTTTCTATTTTCTAGGGACGATGGCAAAATAACATGGAAGTCTCCATGAAAAAAAATAACAAACAGGTTTGTACACAGCCCTGGACATTTGCACTGTCTGGTTTGATCCTCTTAATAATCTGTTGCAAAGAGAGCAGGCTGTGTCAGCCACCTTTAGGGGTCACAGAGCATGACATCTGCAGAGACTGAGCGACATGCCCAGGCCACCCGGCCAGGGACTTGCGGGTCTGATTCCCACCCAGGCTGCTTCTGAAACGCAGTGCGGCTCCGTGTACTTGCTCCCTGTTTGCTTTAATGATCAGACTGTTTGGACTAAGCCTTTTAATAAGACGGCTCTGGCAACAGCTGGTGATAGTTAGATTAAAAATCAAATCCTGTTTGGTTGGGGAAGTAGAATCATCAAGAGAATGAGAGCAAGAGAGAGGAGAGAGAAGGTGCCAGAATAACTGTGTGTTGTGACAGGAAGTGTGGAGCCCAGGCAGCGTGATGTGCGAGGTTCCCGCGCCCCTCCTTTCCCGTCCTTCGACACAAGTTCCCACCCTCACTGCTGTCTGCTCTTGTCCTTGGCTTCTGCTGAGCTTTCTGTGCCTGGTCGCCACAGACGGACTGCTGTTCATCACAAATAGAAGTCTGGGGCTCTGTCCCAAACCTTGATATTTACGTTTCATTCACAGAAAATAAATGATCAGATCTGTAAATCTACCTCCCGTGGTATGTATGGCCTGGGTCTCCTGTGTCCTTGAATTCTACTGAAAGTAATATTTATTGCTGCCACTGAGTTACGGTCACTTAGCTTCTTTTCATTCTGAGTTTTCTGACTTTTCAAGTGACTGTCCTCTTAGAGCTTAATTCTACTCCTTTGTCAATCCCCTTCTCTCTACCGATTGTCCGTTGGTTTTCATGGCTTTCTCTCATGTTTTCCAGAAAAATCTCATTATGGATACTATATTATGGTAACATTTAGACTTACCCTGGAATTCAGAAGAAAACTACAATGCTTTTCAAAGCCTGACCCCAACTGAAAAACCAACCACCTGTTACTAGAATAAAGAAGGTGTGGTTCCTTCCCTGGTTCCTTCACCAGTGTTCAGATGGCCTGATTAGTGGGAAGTCCTCACTCATCACAGTTGCCCTTGGCATTGTCTTTACCTCCCAGCCAGTCCTGTTAATACTGTCATGTATGATTTCTGCTTGGACACTCAAAATGTAGAATAGCTATTAGCTGTATCTTTTTATATTAGTTTTGCGTGCTGCTCCCAGAACAGCATATGCTTGTGTAGATTTGTGTACATGTATGCATCTGTTGTAAAATTAACATTTATTAATTTTTGGTCAGTGAAGATTATACAAAGAACTAAAAATTAGCCCATAATTCACAGTGTTCAGGCATCTGTGTGAGTGATGATAATGTACTAAAATTGGAATGATACAGAGAAGATCAGCATGGCTCCCATGCAATGATGGCACACAAATTCACGGTGTTCCATATTTTATCTTGTTTCTAATAAGGTAGGCTTTGTCTTCGTCTTGTTAGGGAGCTGTGTGTTGGTGTTTAAAACATGCTGTGCAGTATTACAGGTGTAAAGTCGAGTCTTTGAAAGAGGAGTGCTGGATGTAGCTGTGCAGATATGGAAAACACCTTTTCTGAGATGATGGGAAGTTTTGCTGGGCTTTGGGTTCGGCAATGCAAACTTTTTTTTTTTTTTAAGATTATTTATTTGAAAGCCAGAGTAAGAGAGAGGGAGAGAAAGAGAGAGAGCACTCTTCCATTTACTGTTTCACTTCCCATATGGCCAGAGCTGGGCCAGTCTGAAGCCAGGAACCAGGAGCTTCTTCTGGTTCTCCAACATGGGGGCAGGGGCCCAAGGACTTGGGCCATCCTCTGCTGCTTTCCCAGGCCATTAGCAGGGAGCTGGATCAGAAGTGGAACAGCCAGGACTCGAACCGGCACCCATAGGGGATGCCAGCATCACATGTGGAGGCTTTACCCACTATCCCACAGCGCTGGCCCCAAGTACAAACATTTATAACTGAATTTTGCTTGAAAATTTACAGTATGGGAGGGTATCCTGACCCTGTGTCATGATCATGTCACATTTTCAGATTTAACCCAGTGTCCATTTTTTGCAGCTGCTGCTTCCAAAAGGAAAATATTTCCAAAATGCCATTTTTTATAAGGATTGAATAAACCTGCCACAGGAAGTTTCTCTTACAAGTGGGGGGGGGGAGATTGACCAGTACATAAAGCTATACTTATTTATGTTCATTTTATTTGAAAGGCAGAGAAATGGGGAGAGATATTCCATCCTCCATTTCACTCCCTAACTGCTCACAGCAGCCAGGACTGGACTAGGCTGAGACCAGGAGCCAGGAACTCCATCTGCGTCTCACACATTGGTGACAGGGACTCAAGGACTTGGGTCATCATCGGCTTTCTCTCAGGATGTGCATTAGCGAAAAGGTGGAACCGAAGTGGAAGTGGGATTTGAATCCAGGCACTCCAACATGAGATCTAGACTTCCTAAACAGCCGCTTAACCCACCGCACTACACACCTGCCCCTAAAGCTATGACATCATCTGTAAATATCTTGCCCTCAAGTCCTTTTCCCCCAAGATAAATGTTATTGTCAGTCTTTTGTGTTTCCTTCCAGAAGCACTTTCTAAGCATGTCCTGACCAAAACTGATCATTTAAAGATAGATTTCAAATTAACAGTCTTATCAGTTCACCTAGTAGAATTAATTCACTCATTCAACAAATGTTTATTAAAGCTGTGAGTTAAGCATTGTTCTTGGCACTGGAGATTAGCCTGAACAAATAAGACCAAATCCTTGTTCTCATAAAGGCTATGTCCTGGTGATGAACAATAAACAAGAAAATGTTAGGAGCAGGTGTTGTTGCGTAGGAATCTAAACAACCATTTGGGATACCCATGTTGTGTTGTGATGTGCTGGGTCCAGTCACAGCTCCTCTGCTTCCATTCCAGTTCCCAGCTCATGCATGATGGCAGCAGATGATGGCTCAATGTTGGGCCTCTGCCATTAACATGGGAAATCCAGATGGAGCTCCAGGCTCCTTGCATCAGCCCGGCCCACCCATGGCTGTTGTAGACCCATGGCTAGATCTCTCTGTGGTTTTTTGCTTTTGTTTTTATTTCGACAGGCAGAGTGGATAGTGAGAGAGAGAGAGACAGAGAGAAAGGTCTTCCTTTTGCCGTTGGTTCACCCTCCAATGGCCGCCGCGGCCGGCGCACCGCGCTGATCTGAAGGCAGGAGCCAGGTACTTCTCCTGGTCTCCCATGGGGTGCAGGGCCCAAGCACTTGGGCCATCCTCCACTGCACTCCCGGGCCACAGCAGAGAGCTGGCCTGGAAGAGGGGCAACCGGGAAAGAATCCGGCGCCGCTAGGTGGAAGATTAGCCTATTGAGCCGCGGCACCGGCCATCTCTGTGTTCTTATCTCTGTCTCTGTTGCTATGCCTTCCAAGTACATGAAAGTGGATAACTAAACATTTAGAAAAACAAAGTGTTCGACGGCGATAAGCACTAATGGGAAATATAACGAAGAGAAAGGAAATGGGGATTTGGGTGCAGCTTGCTCTTTGGGCCAGCGGCCAAAAAAGCCCTTATGGAGGTGATGAGCAAGTCAAGTTCCGCAGAAGGTGGGAGAGCAAGTTGTGTAAACACTTGGAGGGGCTAGAGTTGCAGGTTAGCGAAACAATTGTTTTTCTCAATGTCAGGCAACAGGTTTATTTATTTGTTTGTTTAAATTTAAATGTATTTGAGAAGGAAGGAGAGAGGGAGAGAGAAGGAACTTCCATCTGCTGATTCACTTCATAAATGCCCAGTAGATGAGGCTGGGCTGGCTGGAGTCAGGAACTTCCGGGTGGGTAGCAGGAACCCAATTATTAGAACTCTCACCACTGCCTCCCAGGATCTGTGTTAGCAGGAAACTGGAACTAGGAGCTGGAGCCAGGAATCCAGTCCAGGCACTGAATGTGGGACATGGGTTTCTTAACCATTAGGCTAAATGCCTGCTCTCTCTCAAGAGTTTTTTTCCTACTAAGTCACCCAAGAAGAAGAAAAGAGAAAATTCATTTGAAGTAATAATCCATTAATAAAAGACATATCCCACTTATGGAAGTTCTCATTCTTAACTATCCTGGGGAAAAAAAAGAGAGAGAGAGAGACCCAGACGAAGAGTGAGATACTTCCTCCCGGCTACCTTGAGTAGATGCTCTGGTAGTCCAGAATTCCTCCTTCTCACTGGCTCTGCAGTTGCCAAGAACTTTTCTTCTTGAGAAGTTCTTGAAAAGATCCACGTGTTTGCCTCCTCTCCCACAAGGGCCATTTCTAGAGTCTTCACTCGGGAGGTAGCCCTCACATCCACCTTTCTAGAGACCATGGAATGGTGCTGGATGCAGGTACCTTCCTTGCATTTGGTGAAGGGAGGCTCTGCTCCTGTTGTTCTTGTAGTCTGAGCTTTAGGGCTTAGGTTCACCTGGTACATAGTGTCTGGGTATACTGGCCCTGGCTGTAGTTAGTTTTAAAACTAATAATATACTAAATTTTACACACAGAGAAATAGTATTTATTTATGTATATTTATATATGATTTATTTATTTATTTATTTGAAAAGCAGAGGGAACCATGGCTCAGTGGGTTGAGCCACCATCTGCAATGCCTGCATTCCGTATGGACGCTGGTTTGAGTCCTGGCTGCTCCCCTTCTGATCCAGCTCCTTGCTAATGCTCCTGGGAAAGCCATGGAGCATGGTCCAAGTCCTTGGGCCTCTGCACCCATGTTGGAGACCTGGAAGAAGTTCCAAGCTCCTGTCTTTAGCCAAGCCCAGCCCTGGCCGTTGCAGCCATTTGGGTAGTGAATCAGTGAATGGAATCTCTGTCTCTGTTTCTCTTCTCTCTCTGTAACTCTGACTTTAAATTAATTTTTTTAAAAAAAGCAGAAATAGAGACAGAGTTAGAGAGAAAGAGAGAGATCTTCCATCACTGGTTCACTCCCCCAAATGGCCACAACAGCCAGGGCAGAACCAGGCTAAACCAGCAGCCGGGAACTCCATCCCCATGTGGGTAGCCCTGGTCAAGCACTTGGGCCATCATTTGCTGCCTTCCCAGTAACCTTAGCAGGAAGCTGGATTGGAAACAGAGCAGCCGGGACCTGAACTGATGCTCCAATATAAGATGCCATTGTTGCAAGCATCAGCTTTAACCTGCTGCACCACAACGCCAGTCCCCCAGTGAGTATTTCTTTGGTTAATATGGACATGTCAGCCTATTAAAACAGGTGAGTAATTTGCTTCAAATATGTTTTTGTGCACCAGTATTGGGTCTTAGGTGGAAATGCCAGTGGATTTGTAGCAGTTACTAAAAACAGAAGCTGCTGCCTCATCCCATACCTCTGTACCCAGTGCACTCCGGGCCTCACCACTCAGATGGGAGGCTTCCACTTCAGTGATGCAGAGCCTGTTGGAGAGAGGCACAAGTCTTTCCTGAGAGCCTCAATAGAATCCTGTCAAGTCATTTGTATTTTTGGAGAGTGACTTCATGCTGATTTTATTTTGCCCAATTTGACGTGTTGTGACGATTGCTGAAAATGATCTGATGTGAGGAGAAGCATTATTATTATTTTTTTTTAATTTTTTTTGCCAGGCAGAGTTAGACAGTGAGAGAGAGACAGAGAGAAAGGTCTTCCTTCCGTTGGTTCACTCCCCTAATGGCTGCTACAGCCGGCGCTGCACCTGTCCGAAGTCAGGAGCCGGGTACTTCCTCCCACTCTCCCATGCGGGTGCAAGGGCCCAAGCACTTGGGCCATCCTCCTCTGCCTTCCCGGACCACAGCAGAGAGCTGGACTGGAAGAGGAGCAACCAGGACTAGTACCCGGCACCCCAACTGGGACTAGAATTCAGGGTGCCAGTGCTGCAGGCGGAGGATTAGCCAAGTGAGCCACAGCACCGGCAGAAAAGCATTATTATTAATAGGAAGGTTGGAGTCACTGTTTTAGTACAGTGGGTTAAGTCCCATCTGCAACACCGGCATCTCATACTGGAGTGCGTGTTCAAGTCCCAGCTGTTCTACTTCCAGTTCAGCCTCCTACTGGTGCTCCTAGGAAGACAGTGGAAGATGGCCCAAGTTCTTGGGTCCCTGCCACCCATGTGGGAGACCCTGTCCCAGCTGTGTGGCCATTGGGGAAGTGAACCAGCAGATGGAAGATCTCTGTGTCTCTCCCTCTCTGTCTGTCACTCTGCCTTTCAAATAAATATTTTTTTTAAAGGGAGGACGTGGGAAGGGGAGGTTCTGTAGAAAACATATTTCCTTAGGAAGTGAAAGAAATCAATCAAGAAACCATGGTGAGAAAAGATGTGTTCAATAATTGAAAGCTGGGAACCCTCCCCATGCTTACCCTCTGCTGGATCAAGCCATTAACACCTGCTGTGGACCACTGTAGTAGGCTTTTTTTTTTTTTTAATATTTATTTACT